AATCTTCTAATCCAACTCTCTGCTAAAGCATTCCTGACAAATGGCTGTCCAGTCTCTTCTTAAAAGCCTCCAGGGATTAGAGCATCCACAATCCCTGAAGGCAAGCCCTTCCACTGATTAATTGTTCTCACTGTTAGGAAATTTCTCCTTAGTTCTAGGGTGCTTCTCTCCTTGATTAGTTTCCATCCGTTGCTTCTTGTCTTGCCTTCTGGTGCTTTGGAAAATAGGCTGACCCCTTTTTCTTTGTGGCAGCCTCTCAAATATTGGAACACTGCTATCATGTCACCCCTAGTCCTTCTTTTCATTAGACTAGACATACCCAATTCCTGCAACTGTTCTTCATACGTTTTAGCCTTCAGCCCTCTAATCATCTTTGTTGCTCTTTGTTGTTCTTTTCGAACAATCATTTGCTGTAATGGAATGTGAGAATGACCTTAGGAAATGGAGCAATGAGATGCCATCTAGGGAATTGTCAAATAAGAGGGAGCATAGCCCACTACTGCATAATGGGCACAGCAAGAGGATCAGGAGGGATTCTCCCTAAGTTATCAGGCTGTAAAGGTGACAGCGGGAAAACTGTACTTTCAGACTTACAAAATTTAATGTAGGATTATAATAAGGTATAATTAGCTTATTTGTCCACTGGTTAAGAGAAAGGGGGAAGCAAAGGAAGATGTGGTTGCAATTGACAAGTTTATTAAGAAATTTAAGGAACAAAAGGCAAAGTATAAGGTAGAGGAAGGACATGGCGAAAGTAAGGATGGGTTGCAAATATAGACATGCATTCTGGTGTAAATTAGACTTAACTATATTTATTTTCATTTTTCTTATCTCATGCCTTTAACTTCTTCAACTTAATATTTCTTACTCCTCTGTGCTTGGCCTGAACTTGCTTGCTCTTAAAAAAAGAAGTAGCACAGTGATACATGTGTACAATGCTAGTCCGGCTTCCGGCCTGGGCACAGCACGGAAACGGCATTGGTCGCGTTGGTTGATGATCTCTGGAGGGCTCGGGATAGAGGCTGTTCCTCTATCCTGGTCCTGTTAGACCTCTCAGCGGCTTTTGATACCATCGACCATGGTATCTTGTTGCACCGGTTAGGGGGGTTGGGGGGCACCGTTTTACGGTGGTTCTCCTCCTACCTCTCGGACAGGATGCAATTTGTGTTGGCAGGGGGGCAGAGGTCAACCTCGAGGCGCCTCACTTGTGGGGTACCACAGGGGTCGGTCCTCTCGCCTCTCCTGTTCAACATTTATATGAAGCCACTGGGTGAGATCATCCGTGGTTTCAGGGTGGAGTTTCATCAGTACGCAGATGACACCCAGCTGTACATCTCCATCCCGGACCACCCCAACGATGCCGCGGAAGTGATGTCCTGGTGCCTGGATGGGGAGGAACAGGCTTCATCTCAACCCGTCCAAGACCGAGTGGCTGTGGTTTCCGGCGTCACGTCATAGCCAGTTGGTTCCATCTCTGGCTATCGGGGGTGAGTCATTAGCCCCCGCGGAGAGGGCCCGCAACCTGGGCGTCCACCTGGATGCTTGGCTGTCTTTAGACGATCATGTGACGGCCGTGGCCAGGGGGGGTTTTCATCAGGCTCGCCTGATACGCCAGTTGCGCCCCTTTCTGGATCGGGACGCCATACGCACAGTCACTCAAGCCCTCGTTTCCCACCTGGACTATTGCAATGCTCTCTACATGGGGCTCCCCTTGAGGTGCACCCGGAGGCTCCAGCTAGTTCAGAATGCGGCTGCGCAGGGGATTTTGGGGGCCTCTAGATGCTCCCATGCAACACCTCTCCTGCGCGAGCTGCACTGGCTGCCGGTGGCCTTCCGGGTGCACTTCAAGGTGTTAGTAACAACCTTTAAAGCGCTCCATGGCAATGGACCTAGGTATTTGCAAGACCGCCTCCTACCAAACACCTCCCTTCGACCAGTCCGCTCCCACAGAGAGGGCCTCCTTAGAGTGCCGTCGGCCAGACAATGCCGGCTGGCGACCCCCAGGAGGAGAGCCTTCTCTGTGGCAGCTCCTGCCCTCTGGAATGACCTACCCCCCGACCTACGTACAGTTGCGGACCTGCGCCTTTTTCGCCGAGCCCTGAAGGCCCATCTATTCCGTGCGGCCGGCCTGGCATAGTTTGATTATGTTTTAGTGGGGGTTTTTGTTTGGGGTGTTTTTAGAACAGGCCCGTTATTTAATTTGATTTTAGAACAGAAACTATTTATTTATTATTGTGGTTTTTAGTATCACCTGTTCACCACCCTGAGTCCCGTAAGGGAGATAGGGAGGTATATAAATTTAATTAATAAATAAATAAATAAATAAATAAATAAATAAATAAATAAATAAATAATCCCCAAATTAATCTCTCAATGACTTACAATCTTTAGTTACAGAAAAACAAAGAGGGAAGATAAGAAATAATTGAAAAGTATACTTTAAATAAAAAGACAATACTTAAAAACACTACCACCCATAGTATGTGCAATTAGCCTTAAAATCATACCTTTGGGGGAAGTCCATTTTGTGGTATTTCTTATCCTATGCCAAGATCGCTTGTATGTGTTTTCCTCCGACTCATACCATTCGATAAGATAACCATCTATTTCTGAATCTGTTAAATCCCATGTCAAATTCATTTCCTCGTTTGCAACAGAAGCATTCAGATGAAGAATTTTTGGTTCTATGAGAATAATTGCCCATGTTAACTAGGTTGAGTAAATGTCAGCAATTTAAGCAATGATTGCAACTGGCAATGCATGGCAGTGGTGATTTACAGCAAACAGAAACAGAAAACTATAGCACGGTAATATATATATATATATTAAATACTGAGAAAAAATTTCACTGTTTCCTTAAAGAAGATGTGGCAACTTAAATTGGAACACAGGTAGTCCTTGACTTAGGATCACAACTGAACCCAAAATTTCTATTTCTCAATGAAACATTTCTGAGGTGAATTTTGAATACACACACATACACATTCCTCTATGTAACAAAGCTAAGAGCCATTTTCACCTAACAACCACTTATTTCTTCTTTAAAAAGATACCTTTAGATTGGATTTTAGAGCTGGAGGAAGCATATATAACTGTTGCAACAAATTTATTTGATAATATTTTTCTTAATAAAAATCCATATATTTAGCAAGCCTTTCCAATGTCCATGGAGATTCTCAGTCATCCCAGTCATGGTTGTCTCAAAGGTGTTTTTTGAGAACTAATCCTTCCATCGCCCCCACCATCCCAACTGATGAAGTTTCTTGAATGAAAAGCAAAACATCTTTTTCCTCAAGGAAAAAACATAGTCCAGTTGCCTTTTGAAAAAGCCCCTTTGAGACAAACCTTTCCAATCTTCTTTCTCTCTGCCAGAATATTTGTAAATCAGGGTTGAAATGAGGGGTCCTTGATGCTTTCTGCATTTGATTGTTTTCTTGTAAAAGTTTCATTACCCAAACATTGTCAGTGTTCTGATGAATATGAGCACTGGTGATGTTACCAAGTTTAGGTAATAAAATGTTTGCAAGAAAACAACCTAGCTCAGAGAGCACCAAGGACCCCTCACTTAGGAAACAGTTGTGGATACACAGAAAGATTTCAGCTAAGTTAAAGTTTGAAATGATGTTACAGAAAATAGAAAATGGTTGAAATCGTCAACAAAGCACCAGTGGCACATAAGTAGTAATACAGTATACAATATAAACAATAACAACAAAAAGCACTTTCTTATTCTGTGTGTGTGTGTGTGTGTGTTGTGTACAGTATTTGCATAAACTTACTCATTGTTTTTTCCTGTTTTGATGATGGAACTCTAATAGTAGCTTCAGGAGACTCTCCAGCACTGTTATGAGCAGTAAAACTGATATTATAGGCATCCTCCGTCAGGCTGAGAATGACAAGCTCTTTCTGATTGTATTTTTTTTCAAAAGTAATGTTGCTGTTTTCTGCAATGTATCTTACTGTATAGCCAGTTATGATTCCTGAAGATGGGAATTCTTTATTTACCTGGTCAGTTTATAGTAGCAATTAAGAAGAACAAATGGTTAAACATGTATAGGATTGGACTCCTCAAAACCTAATGCATGAAAAATAAAATTGTAAAGCAGCACTTGAAAAGTATGTACAAGTTAGCTGTAGAGTTATAATTATTCATAGTTCCAGGCAATTTTGCACCATACAAATGTGCAAATGATTAAAACACATTTACAGTAAACAATTAAAACAGAACTGTTAAAATCTAAATAGTTAAGCAGCATAAATTGGATGGGGAGGAATAGGCTTCGACTCAACCCATCCAAGACCGAGTGGCTGTGGTTTCCGGCAACACGACATAGCCAGTTGGCTCCATCCCTGGCTATCGGGGGCGAGTCATTAGCCCCCGCGGAGAGGGCCCGCAACCTGGGCATCCTCCTGGATACTCGGCTGTCTTTAGACGACCATATGACAGCCGTGGCCAGGGGGGCTTTTCATCAGGTTCGCCTGATACGCCAGTTGCGCCCCTTGCTGGATCGTGACGCTCTACACACGGTCACTCAAGCCCTCGTTGTTTCCCGCCTGGACTATTGCAACACTCTCTACATGGGGCTCCCCTTGAGGTGCACCTGGAGGCTCCAGCTAGTTCAGAATGCGGCCGCGCGGGGGATCCTGGGGGCCTCTAGATACTCCCATGTAACACCTCTCCTGCGCGAGCTGCACTGGCTGCCTGTGGCCTTCCAGGTGCGCTTCAAGGTGTTAGTAACAACCTTTAAAGCGCTCCATGGCAATGGACCTAGGTATTTGCAAGACCACCTCCTACCAAACACCTCCCTTCGACCAGTCCGCTCCCACAGAGAGGGCCTCCTTAGGGTGCCGTCGGCCAGTCAATGCCGCCTGGTGACCCCCAGGGGGAGAGCCTTCTCTGTGGCAGCTCCTGCCCTCTGGAATGACCTACCCCCCGACCTACGTACAGTTGCGGACCTGTGCCTTTTTCGCCGAGCCCTGAAGGCCCATCTATTCCGTGCGGTCGGCCTGGTGTAGTTTGATTATGTTTTAGTGGGGGTTTTGTATGTGGTATTTTAGAGCAGGCCTGTTATTTAATTTGATTTTAGAACAGAAACTTGCGTATATTTACCGTGGTTTTTATTATCGCCTGTTCACCGCCCTGAGTCCCGTAAGGGAGATAGGGCGGTATATAAATTCAATAAATAATAATAATAATAAATTAAAAGGCAAACATGGGATTTTTTTTTCTCAATCCAATCTGGTTCCCGTATTGACTCTGCTTGTTAGAAGGTTGCAAAAGGGGATCACATGACCAGGGGACACTGTAACTGTTATAAATATGAACCAGTTGTCTATCATCCAAATTTTGATCATCTGACCATGGGGATGTTGCAACGCTCATGTGAAAAATGGTCATAAGTCCCTTTTTTCATTCCCTTGTAACTTCAAATAGTCACTAAATGAATACTTGTAACTCAAAGTCTACCTGTAATTGTTATTTAAACAATATCAGCATTTCATTTTAAGAAATTGTAATAACCACGATTCCTAAACTTCTGATATCAGACTCAAGAAGCAGAGAAGAACTTTGAACACCATATGTGTGTGTGTGTGTGTATACATTCATAAAAAGAAACTGGAATTTTTAAATGTCCTGATATTTGTTTACCTTCCACAAAAGGCGCATCCTTCTTTCATTAGGATGAACAGTTTCAATTACTCTCCATAAGTCTACTTTCGAAGGGGCTGTTAAGAATAATGAAACAAAATTTTAAAATATGAAAACAAAATGCATAAACAGATCACTTGGACAGGCATCACTCCCTTCTGTAGGTTAAGTAATGGTAGTCTTCTCTAACAGCAAACAGACACTGGACTTAACAAGAACACAATGATAACCAATTCTTTCTCATCTTTTCTAAGGCTCCAGTTTCAGCTGTATTCTAGTAACTGTCAGGCCATCATGATTAGCTAGAAATACTTAATCCAATTAAAAGAGATATCAAGTGCAACCATACTATCAAAGAACCTCTAGGCATGCAGTATATGTTAAAAATAAGCAGAAGTTTCTTTCAATATCAGTGTCAGCCATTCAAGGTGGCCAGATCAAGAAACAAGACACCAGAAAAAAGACTAAAATTCTACTTTACTGATAGACTTAAAAAAAAACCCATCCAGAATCTTGAAAACTAGTGGTATCTCTCCTTTCATACTAGGAAGAATCAAGGCAGAGACATTTTAAGTCTCTTTCTCATGATTTTTTTGTTTTCCCACATTGAGCCCATGTTCTATTAATGGTCTTTGCATATTTTCTCCAAGGTCACTTGCTATTTAACATAGAACTGTGTCTATCACCAGACAAACAAGTTGCTCTAAAGGATGTCAACTGGGAAGAAATGCTCATGGAAGAAGCATATCACCACAGATTCCACAACATTATCCACAATTCCATTTGTGGCTGGAATGTGCACTTGCGAAAAACAAGAGCCATTTGCACTATTTATTATTTATGTATTTATATTTCATCATTTTCAACTGCCCGTCTCCCTTAAATTATATTTTCCTCAACTAAAACTCAGCTAAATTAAATGAGCTCCCTGTATAAGTGTGGCAGAAACAATATATGTGCCAGTTTTTGGTGTGGCTTTTTAAATAAAGTTTATAGTTTATTTATTTATTTATTTAAAACATTTATACAGCCATCTATCTTCTAACCAATTCTGGGTGGCTCCCAAGAAATGTTAAAACAATATATAAAATCATATTGAAACTATAAAGCCAAACCACATTAAAAAGTTAAAAACAACAAAGACCTGGCATCAAGTCAAACATCTAATGTGTGCAGTTATCCAATCTTTCCCCATGCATTTGGGGGGAAAGCCAGGTCCTCAAAGCTTTACAGATAGGGGCCTGCCGAACTTCCAGGGGACGAATGTTCCATAGGGCAGGGGTAGCCATGGAAAGGCATGCTACACAGCTCCCATCACATGGCAATATTTAGGAGAAGAGACTAGAACCATGCCCACCCTATCCAACCTGATAGGATACGTAGATGGTGGTCCCGAAGATAACCTGGTCCTGTGCCACATAAAGCTTTGAAGGTGATGACCAACACCTTGAATTGCACCCAGAAAGAAACTGGAAGCCAATGCTGCTGACGTAACTGAGATTTTACATGGACAAATTTAAGGGGCCCCATTACTGTGCCCGCTGCTGCATCCTAGACCCGTTGAATTTTCTGGATGGTCTTCAAGGGCAGCCCTATGCAGAGTGCATTACAGTAATCCAAAGAGTAATAGACCAAAGCATGAGTGATAGTTCTACCTTTAACCTTTATTAACCATGACTTGAGATGTTTAAATCTGCAAATGAAATCTCTATGCCAGACTTGGCTATGTTGTTCTTACCTTGTTCTTCTGTTCTGCCTATTACTTTGTTGCTCCATTCACTCCAGGGACTTGACTCATGGGGCTCACCAAGCCTACACCGAACAGCAACTGTATAATTTGTAAAATTCCATAGGCCAGTGAGATTTGCAATTTGATTTCTGACATAATGTTTGATCGGGATCCTGATGTTTGCCTAAAAATAAACATAACTGTTGTTTCAATTACCGTGGTAAAAGAATAAATTCAAAATTGTAAATAAGGATTATCATACATCCAGATTTCCCTAGACACAGCTTCTTTTCAGTTTATGAAAGCTCAGTCCAGCTAGGAATATAAAATATTGTGTTTATTTTATAGAAGACAAGCTTTTACTTCACTAATTGAGAGTGAAGGGAGGTCTTGTGGTGGAGGGAGGTCTTCTTATCCTGAATGATAAGAACTGAAGCTCTTCCTTGCCATTTGTCATAGAGTACAAACATTACCGACAAATTTGCCTATGGATAGCTTCTTACTAGAAGCATAAACATTTTTGAGCTGTACAGTAATCAGAATCAAGATCACGTGAAGTGTTAATACCACTTTACAATGCCTTGGTAAGGCCACACTTGGAATACTGCGTCCAGTTTTGGTCACCGCGATGTAAAAAAGATGTTGAGATTCTAGAAAGAGTACAGAGAAGAGCAACAAAAATGATTAGGGGACTGGAGGCTAAAGCATATAAGGAACGGTTGCTGGAATTGGGTATGTCTAGTTTAACAAAGAGAAGGACGAGGGGGGACATGATAGCAATGTTCCAATATCTCAGGGGCTGCCACAAAGAAGAGGGAGTCAAGCTATTCTCCAAAGCGCCTGAAGGCAGGACAAGAAGCAACGGATGGAAACTAATCAAGGAGAGAAGCAACCTAGAACTAAGGAGAAACTTCCTGACAGTTAGAACAATTAACCAGTGGAACAACCTGCCTCCAGAAGCGGTGAATG